CCCAGCTGGGGCTGGGCGGTACCTGCCGGCAAAGCCCCCCGCTCGGGCAGCCTTCGTGAGGCGCAGCCCCCCGGGGGAAGCGCTTTCTGTGAGGAATGGAGTTACTGCACGGCGCGCCTCGGTCCTTGTGCTGCCGGCGGGGGCGTCGGACTGCGGGCAGGGCCCGCTTCAGGCCCCTTTCCCCCAGGAACCGCCGGAGGAGGGAAACGGAGGGAAGCAACTGAGGAAAATACCCTTGGCTCTGCCTCACTGAGAAGGAACTAGGTAGCATGCTGCGGGATATGCACAAAAACGTTCACGCATTTTAGCTGTGACCCTGAAAATACGCCCTTAGCACAAAAAAGAGACCTCAGCCCAGCGTGCCTTCAGGTTTCTAATCCGCTCCGCGGCCTGGCACGACTGCTGTGTGGTTGAGCTAGGCCCCGAGGCGAGGGGGGTGTGGGGCAGGAGGGCAGCGTGTTACCGAGCTGACTGACCTGTGCTGGCAAAGACGGCAGCCTGGGTTTGGTTTTTCCAGCCTGCGCCATGTGGTGGCATATGTGGTCCCTAAGCTCGCTAGCTCATGCAGATTAGGCTTTCTGCTGTACTATGGACAATGGTTGCTGGTAAGGAATATAGTTTATGCAACAGTATGTGTGAGGCGTGATTTGCTGCCAACCAAACTGAAGTTTTTTAACTTCTTTTGCTCAGGCTCATGAGTATCCATGGAGTGGTCATATCAGCTGCACTCAGGTTCAACAGGATGTGAAGGAATATTTGAATCTGTGTTCTTACCTGCTTGTTTTCTGTCTCTCACAAACACTGAGGAATGAAAAAGTTCACAGGCTTCTTCTGTACAAATAACGTTTTTAATTTTGTTTTTTTAGCAACAAACAACAAATACCGTAGAGGAGCCACTTGATCTCATCAGACTCAGTCTAGATGAGCGAATCTATGTGAAAATGAGGAATGACAGAGAGCTTAGAGGCAGACTACATGTAAGTAAAACTTTCAGAACGCTACCACGCTTATTCAGCTGAGCACTGGGCAGCCTTTTTTACATACAACAGCCTAGTACACAGATGCTCTGTCCCTGGAAACATTCAAGGTCAGGCTGGATGGGGCTCTGAGCAACCTGATCTACTTGGAGATGTGCCTGCTCACTGCAGGGGCATTGCACTGGATGACCTTTGAAGGTCCCCTCCAACCCAAATGATTCTGTGATTCTTCCATTGATTGTTTAAAAATATTAGTTTAAAAGTGCAAGTAGTTGTATCTCTTGGTTAAAAATGCAGAAGTGGTTAGAGAAGGTAGGTTAAAGATCATCTTAGTATCAAGGGCTGAACCCTTTCTCTTATCAAAAGTGTAATGTGATTAGTGGCAAAATCTAATCTGTTCAGTACTCTGCTTCTCCAGAGATTCAAGAGATGTATTTTGGTTTTCTTGTCTCCTGAATGACACCAAGCAATTCATTCCACTGCTTTTGGCTTCTATTTCTGTGTCTGTGAAATAAGCAATAATGCTGCAGGCCTCTTCTTGTGAAGTACCCTGAGGTCTCTTTAAGAATGAATTAAGAATGAGATGATCGTTATCAAACAAGTATCTCTTAAGACATACACTATGAGGGTATGATGGGATTATGTACTCAGCTGGACTCTCTGCAAATCTCGTTTGTCTAAGTGCTTTCTTCTGAGAGTGATATGTCTTTTGACAAGACAGATTTTTGCTTTCTATTAAGTCAGTCATCCTTCCTGAGTACTGTACTGTGTTGGGGAAGAGATCCAGCTGCCCCATGTGTTAACTGGGCCTCAGCTCCTTTGGGAGCACAGAGACAAGGAGAAATCCATGAGGCACACATATAGTTTGCAAGATGCTTTTGTAAGGTGTTTGGAACGTGTGCTTATTTGAAGTTTTTGTAGCATTGTATGAATTACAGCTTTCATATCATTTAAGCTGGCCCCAGGCAATCAGTTCCAGGAGGCTGGACTAGCAGCAGAGAATGTATAGCTGGTGTAATGTTAACAATGTGTGTCTGTCTCCGAGTTCTTGCATGTGTTCTCACTGAAAGCTTCAGAGCTGTTTCCTGGAGAAGGGTTTCAGTGAATATAAATGTCTTCCCCTTTTTTTTTTTTATGCTGCAGAGTACTGATTTGCTGGCATTTATGTTTGAAATTATAACTGATACTACTTTGTTTTGACATAGTGGCACATTTTGGTCACAATCAGGCTAAACTAATTATGTCTGAAAGTCTTGCTATAATTCTCATTTTAATAAGCTTGTGTTTGAATTTTAGAAGAAATAATAAACTAATTCATTCCTACAGGCATATGATCAGCACTTAAATATGATTTTGGGTGATGTGGAAGAAACTGTGACTACAATAGAGATTGATGAAGAAACCTATGAAGAGATTTACAAAGTAAGGACTTCAGTGTATTTATCCCTATAGAAAACATTTTTAAAACTAAACTGTGTTATATTGTTAAAGTAGTTTATTGCAGACTACTTTTTGAACCGAGATCTAAAAGAAGGTTGGGGCAAATTGTTCTGGAAGTACAAAGGATATCCAAAGTTGTGGTGTTATTATATTGATCTCTTCAGCATGCCAGAACATTGTATGTTTGAGATTGTTTGTTGGAGTTGTTTCTGGTGTTTTGTTATGATTGGATTTGGTCATATGCTTAGCAGATATGTTTTGTAAACTATGCTTTTGTAAATGTAAA